TAAGAAGTAACTGTAACTGTAACTTCGTTACAATTGTAACGAGTTACTTCCCAACCCTGACAAAATCCGACCGGCAACCTCTACGTTGTGCACATTGGGTAACGCTAATGCAGGCGGTAAACATCATTTTTCAAGAAAATACATGGTTCGCTTCAAAGTCATGTAACTCGGTAAAAAAAAATCGTAGGAAAATTTTGAAAAAAGCATTTTGTAGGTAAAATGTTGTAGATTGTGGAACTTGTATCGAATTTGTCGAGAGAATTTCTTTTTATCGAGCTGCAATGTGTCAAATGTACGTAAATTTTAAGGAACAAAACAAGGTATTCGTTTTTAAAGCACAGAACGAGGAAGATGAACATACTTAAATAAATCGGTGACAGGGTTTTAAAGGTGACACTTCAAGCTTTAAAATGCTTTTTTAGTTTTGAGTCTACGATGATTTTTCGCTGAGTTTCAATAGTTTGAAAATAGCCCAATTTTTAGGGTATGAAAAGTGTTCCCTATTTTTTTTAGTAGTGTATTTTACCAAATTATATCACTACAAACGATAATATACAAAATAATAACGAAAGATTTAATTTATTTGAAGTTTAACATGTGCAAAAGATTAAAATTCACATTTTATTTCTAAAGTTATAATTTAAAAATTGCAGTAAAAAGTAACAATATATTTTAAGAACTACTCAAGGCAAACTCCTAATAGTACAAACAGCTTATGATATATTTCAAATCCATTTATTCTTTGTCATCATTAGTCCTTGTGAACATATATTAATTACATGCTTTTTATATATGTAGTTCTATAAAGACATGCCAAAGACAAAATTTCCACAAATTTCCATTTCTATTTTAAATGATACAACATATTCTTTATGTGCTGCGTAATGAAAACTCGGAATTTACTAATCACAGAGTAGATTATAATTTCTTAAGTAAATGTAATATCAATGTTCTATCGTAGGTAAATCGCAATATAACGTATATAGTGAATTCTTTGCCCCGCTTCATTCATTCAACGCGCAAAGAGGACAGGCCTCGTGTGGATTAAATTATTGCCAAGCAAAATTGAAATTTTAATTTAAAAATCGCATTAAACAATCTGTTCGGAGAACAAAAAGAGGCGCGATTAAAGTTCTTTCACCATTAGAGAGGCTTTTATTTACATCTAAAACAATATACTTATAATCATAGTAATTATAATATTAATAATAATGCCGTTCTATCGTACATTTTCACAAATCGTCTTTTAAATACAAATCGTCTTTAAATACAAATCAAAAGTACAAGTAACGGCAATATTACACGCTACAAATACTATAAACTCGTATCTGCTCAGCCACTCTCATATATTCTTTAATGATAAATTATACATACAAATCATTTATTTAGATCTAAGATTAATGTAACACCACCACATTTCTCTAGACAAAAAAAATATGCAATTGCAATATGCAACAGCTAACAGTTTGATATAAATATAGATTTAAAGTTTTTGAAAGTTATCTTAAGAATCAACTTGTAATTTATTTTAAGATTTGTTACTTTTTATTACGGCTGTATTTCTAACTTTAAATAACGCTCTTTTACTTAAAAATCATGTTAAGTCTCAAATAAAAGGCGACATATCGACTGAAAAAAAGATTATAAACAGGTTTTGTATTCCCGAGAAAACATACGTATAAGGGCGTCAAACTCGTACAAATGCCACAACTTAATCACCTCTTTTCGATAAATATTGGTGCAAACTGCCAAGAGCTGCAATTTCTGAAGGAAGGCACAAATCATAGCCGTTCTATTGCGCGTACTAAATAGTCTTACAATCCTGAAGGATTTAACTCCTTTTGTGTCTTAATGACATCTATGTTGCACAAAATTAAGCTGACGCACGGTAAACGCCTCGCCCGGAATTGTCGACAACCGTCAATGGTCTGTTGCTAATTTCTTAGGATGGCGTTCCTGTGCGCGTTTAAGTCGCTGTAACAAAAGACTGTGCAGCTGATCGACCTCCTTAGGTGCCGCTTGTACAATGAAGATCCGAATGTCCCCGTCTAAGACGTCCATAGCGGTTAGTCTTAACGATTTAGGTCCAGCACGTTCTGCGGTCATACCCGGCCATACTTTTGTGTTCAGGATCAAGCGCTGCGTCCCGGCAGTACGGCCGACCAAACGAGACTCCTCATCCCGGTCATTGAGTCTTAGCGTACCTCTGCCTCTTTCTTGCCAATTGCTACTAGTCTATAACAAACAGTAAACTATGAAGTCAACACTAAATCAATATAACTTAATTTATACTATCTTAATCAGTGTTTGCTGTTATCTAAATAAAATTATATAGATGATTATCTAGATAAAATTTTAGCGTTATCTTATCTTTATATAGATAATAAAAATAAGTATTATCTATATCTGCATCTTAGATGAAAGAAAGTGTTATCTTTACTAAATTATCTAAGATAACGTACAGATAATTTGATTTAGGGCCACATAAAAATACTTAACAGTTACACTATTTAAATATGGATGGCGTTGTAGACCATGCATTTGTGTGTGTCATATAACTTAACCTGAATACATTCTATATCCCCCTTTATAATTTAAATTTTTCTATAATTTTTTATAACTTTTTCTACTATGTATACATAAAATCTTAAAAATATCTGAAAATTATCTAGATAAATCATCATATAATTTTATCTTTTATCTAGATATATTCAAAGCGAAATCATCTTTCTCTAAGATAAATTTATATATTTTTATCTTATCTTTATCTAGCTAATTTTAAAATCATCTGTGCACAACACTGATCTTAATCCAATTTGTAGTACTGTGTGAATTGCGTAAAAATACATTTATTCAACAGTCTCGCACCCCACGATTGGTTGTCACCGATAACACTAGTCAACACTGACTTTGTCACAAAAGGAATAAACAGATAATTTCGATAGGATTCTTCCCATAGATTACGAATTTGAAACCGAAATGTTCGCCTAGGTCACGTTTTTAGAAAAATGACGTAAAAAATCATTTTTCAAAATCCGTTCTTCATACTTTTTAAACCTCCGACACAAAGGAATGGGACACGATAGAATACTTTATTATAAATTAAAGCTTGAACTTTAAACTTTAACGTAACGAAGCAAAAAAACCATGTCGCAATACTGTAAAGTTATGTAGCACAGGTGTCAAAAATGGGTTTTGTTTTAACTATTTGACCTTAGCTTTCTCAAAATCGTGATGGAACATTTTTGGTCTCAGATTCATAATTTACGGGAAAAATTCTGTCGAAGTTAACTGTTCTTTTTGTGACATTAAAAAATCGAAAAATGTTGATCAGTGTAATCGACAAAACTTAAACAAAAAAAAACTCAGTGTCCGTCACCGGTGACTGCCATGGCAGCGAATGTGTTAAGTACTAAACAATGTATTATTCTTGAAGTATATGCACCTTGTCGAAAGCAAATAACTTGCAGTTGATCTGAAGAACATTTGTTTCTCCCTCCTCGCCAGTCAATAATGTTACTTGATTATATTTTCTCTTGTTCGCACGATTTGCCTCTTCCAGCACCTGAGCTGCTTGAGTCAACGTCAAGCCCGGCCTCACCGTGGCACGGCAATTTGCAGCTGCATTCGAGAACAGAAGCTCAGAAGATCCATTTTCATTGCTCTCCTTGCTCTTCGTCTCGTCTTTCTCGAGACTATTCGAACTGTCCGCGTCGTTCGAAACGGTAACGCGTTCCTTCAAGTTCTGACCGAACACGAAGCTAGGGGTAGATGCGCTAGATGCCACTGTATTATTTACATTGTTCTCGTTCTCTTTAGTACTCGCGCCCAGAGGCAAAAATTTCATCTTTTCCTCGCCCTTAAAATCATTCTCCACTTCGGTTTTATTGCTGTTCGCCACGGGCTCGTCCAAGGAATTTTCGGCAACCTTCGCAAACGGATTGTGAAACTTTGCAGGCTGCAGGACAGTTTTATCAGCGGCGCCCATGGAATTATTGGTTAACACACTTAATTGCGACGGCCTTAGTATAGACGACTTTGATTTACTAGTTACAGCATTCGAAAATTCGTTTACACCAAACGAATTTCCCAACTTTGAAACAGCTAACACAGGATCTGCGACACATAATGTATCGATACATTAATATACAAGAAATTTGGCAGAACAGCTTTTTTACGAAGTCACAATAAACTCACTGTGTTTCTTATCGGGAGACTTAACGGCTGTCAATTTGGATTCTTGGTCATTTGACTCCGCCGTACAGCTTTCCATCTCATCTGTAAAATTCACAAGTTTGTCTCTAAATTTATTGCTATATGATTGAATACATTGCATTGTACAGTAACGGAGGTGATAATTTCTAATTGTCGCGCGCTTTCTTTCGTGATCCGAGTTACATTAATATTTTAGAATAACCATAAACTGGCGTGTCCTGGTCGGTCGGTGCTGAATTGCTAATCGTTGAATCCTCAGTAGAGTCCTCCAGCAACTCCTCGGGCGGATCGACTTTCAGGACGAGTGGCGGATGATCAATATCCTCTGCACCCTCTAAATAAAATAGAAACAAACAATTAAATTATTATGCGAAACGGTTAGCTCCACGTTTATGAACATGAAGTGGAAATTTTATCAGAGAACGTCCCGTATTTTCGTACGTGTCACGTCGTATTATATCGCGTAACACAGAGAACTCTTAGTATTTAAAGAACATTATTTCACTTGTGCAGACATACACAACCGAATGTAGAAAAGATACAAAACGCACCCTTGCAATCCGCCATTTTTTTACGTCGAAATGAATATAGACAAATAATGCTGCCGCTACAGTGTCACCAGGATGCAAGATATTTGATACCGCACATGCATATAAATTTGATATACGGACTTGTATTGACGACGCCAAGATTCTCCCCAGCGCTCCCGGTGGCGAGAGGTAAAACTAGCTAAAGCAGACTGGGGGGAAATCACACGATACGTGAATCAGCATGCGGGACAGAGGATACGTGATTCGAACAGCCAATCAGCGCTCTTCCGCATTTGTCTATCCCGCATGTTTTTCGTGCCCTGTGCACATGATACGGGAAAATGACCAAAAATGCGTCATAAGATTCAAAACCAATTTTTGTAATAATATAATTTTAAATAAAATTTGTTCAATACTGTCGCAGTGACGTTTATTTCAACATTTTAAGTAGTATACTTGAATAAAATTAACAAATAATACTGTTTTGAGTAAATAATTATTTCTTTAAATTGTGTTTATTTCTTGGAACGCGTCATTTTCGGGTCTTTTACGCACTGTGTGCACAAGGCACAAAAGACATACGGGATAGACAAATGCGGAAAAGCGCTGATTGGCTGTTCGAATCACGCATCCTCTGTCCCGCATGCTGATTCCCGTATCGTGTGATTTCACCCTAAAGCTGGGTCTACATTGGATGTCGTAACCCAGGTAGCACACATATCTAAAAGACATCATAAGGACGTCTTTAAGACGTCTTTTGACTTAAAGACATCTTAAAGCTGTCTTTTAGATATGGCGTGCTACCTGGGAAGTCGTGTCGGAAGATATGTAGACCCAGCCTAAAGCCTCGTCTACATAGGCTGGGTCTACATAGGATGTAGTAAGTCGTGTCGGAAGAAATTGTCCAATCACAGTTCATTATTCTTCGACCGTAACGAGAATAATGAACTGTGATTGGTCAATTTCTTCCGACACGACTTACGACATCCAATGTAGACCCACCCTAAAGCCTCGTCTACATAGAAGTCGTAAAGTCGTAGTCGTAAAAATAGTCGACTGCGATTGGTCAATTCAGTCAGACACATAAGAATTGACCAATCATAATCGACTATTCTTACAACTACGACTTTACGACTCTATGTAGACAAGGCTTAAGACGCTAATACGATTCTGTGATTGGTTGAAAACACATTAAAGCCTCGTCTGCATGGAAGTCGTAACGGCGTAGTCGTAAGAATAGTCGACTGTGATTCGTCAATTCTTATATGTGTGACGAAATTGACCAATCGCAGACGATTATTCTTACGACTACGACTCTGCGACTCGCATTGTCAAACTATGAATACCGGCCTTAAACCATTCAGTATCACAGATAGGAAACCAATAAAATTTTGAATCCGGCTAACTTTCGTTTAATAAATATTTAATTAGAATTATCTGAATTACTCACAAACCTTTTTAATTGCATTACAAACGTCTTCATACGAAATACAAACGGTTCCATATAAAAACATTATTTAATTTATATCTATTGGCGCTAAGTATACGGTGGAAAAATAATAAATTAATTACAAACAAACGAATGATTCACAAACCTTTTTAATTACACTACAAACGTCTACATACGAAATACAAACGATTACATATAGGAGTTATTTAAAAATACGTTCTGTCGGCGTCAAGTATGTACGAATGTCGCCATCGTCAGGCTGGATTCACATGGAGCGTAAAGCCTAGTGCAGACTGCACGCAGCAAGCAGCAAGCGTCGAGCAGCAGCCAATCAACGAAGAGATATTTTCTACGCCACTGCTGACGCTTCCGCAAAATTCAGCCGTGTTGGATCCTCGCTGCTTGACGCTTGCTGCTTGCTGCGTGCAGTCTGCACCAGGCTTAACTTGCGTAGCGTAACCTGCATATCACTAATCACAGGGTCATTCTGATAGTACTGTTCCAATAATTCCGTTGAAATAGTTCTGTGATTGGTGATACGCAGGTTACGCTTAGGCTGAAATCACATGATGCGGAATAGGAGTACGGAATAGAGAGTGCGTTATAGGATGTGTTCGAAAATGGATTTAGTTACTGCCAGTGAAAACAGTATAGTTGGTAGCAATGAAAATTACTGGTGCTGCGTTTTTCGCACGCCAGTAAAGTCAGTAAGGCTGGGTCTACATTGGATGTCGTAAGTCGTGTCGGAAAAAATTGACCAATCACAGTTCATTATTCGACTTACGACATCCAATGTAGACCCAGCCTTACTGACTTTACTGGCGTG